TGCAAAGCAGCATTCTAAATAGGTACTTGGTAAACATCATATCAAGAAATGCAAACAGAGGCCTGGAGCAGTGTATGTCTGGGAATATTCAGGACTGAAACAAAGGCATAAATCTCCTGTGTTTTAACAAAACTGCAGCTTGTATATGCCAGATTAGCTCTGATAAGACTAAAAGACTTTTACTTTAAATACTCCTTGAATATTTGATTAGATTATTAATTACTTTAGAAATGCATTGCCTTCCATTGCTAGAAAAAAAACAAGAAATTGGAAATGCTGAATGTATCTGTACATGGAAAATATTTTTTAAAATGAAGGAAAAAAACTCAGCAGGACAAAAACAGTTTATTTCAGGGCCTCACTGGTAATGAAGAACAAAAATGTGTGATGACATTTAAAAACCCTGCGATTCTTCTTGATAATTATACAGTAGTTGGGATTCTGTGAAAGCGATAGTGTATTACAAACCTTTATTTAATCACTCTATGATTTTGTTTGCTTTAAAATTCAATGCGTATAATATTCATCAGACTTAATTGGATTTTTCAGTGAGGGGAGGGCTTTGTTGTTGAAATAACTATTTTCTTAGCATTGAATGGCAGCATGATTACATCAGCCAGTAGGCACCATTATAAAATTGCAAACTCATTTTTTCATAACTAAATGTGATGCAAACACAAATATTTCTTAAGATACTGACCCAACATAACACTTGATAAAAATCCATATAGGACAATTACATAATGTGTGACATTAATCTGACCTCTCAGAAATATTTGTATTAAAATTATGAATAAGACTGATTTTATACATTTTCACAACTCTATAGATAAAATTCCAGTCTTATGGATGGATTGTCTTTTTACCTGTATATGTGGTATTAATACTTATCTTAGAATTGTTTTCAGCATATGAATGTTTCAAACAAATTGAGCATACTGTAGCAGAAGAGATAAGTTGCATTTTCTGTGTTTACAGGTATATTATAGCCAGTATCAATATTATGCCTACAAATTCTATTAATATGTGTTGTCATAGAACTTTTCTAAACAAGTGAATTAACTTTCAATCTGTGATCCCTATATTTCCAAGTGAGCATTTTTTGATAATAATATGCACTTTTTGTGTGAACAGCTTAGTCTTCTTTTTCTAAGAGTGTCACCTAAGCACAGTCTGTTGCAGTTTCAGTAACCTTTTAACAAAAGAACACATAGGACAAATGTGTGGTTTTCATACACTACCTGGTACAATGCCATCACACAGAAAAAAAGAAAATGAAAAAAAAACTGTTCTGTAAGGGAAGTAAAAACTTACCCTAAATCTATTCTCAAAATCTGTGTTGGCCTGTCTGAGGGTGGCACGATGATGTAGCACTCATCCAGATTTGTTCTAGTATTACTTGTAATTTGAAACATTACAATACAGTTTGACTGAATATATATCATTATTAACAGGAGAAAGTGTCAATGACATTACTAAAAAATAATCTTGTTTCACGTTCTAATCCTCTAAGAATTAGCAAAATGTATTTTCAAAATCGACAACATACTGTAGGACCTTATGCTTCTAATGAGACCAATAAAAATAAAACAGTGGAAAACTAGATAAATAAAAGTGTAGAGTCAAACTGTTATCCTTGCTTTTTGCTAAGAATGTCAGATGATTTACAGAGTATAGGTCTCTTCCAAAAAGAGTTTTTTTGGCTATGTGGAAGGGGCTGAAGATCTGGACTTTGAATCTCAGCAATCTGCTTAAAGTTTGATCCCCATTAAACCTCAGCAAACCTTAATCTACTAAAATTTAAATTAAGTACAATGCAATTAACTGTAGAGGTTTTCTAAAAGTTAATTCACTTTGGAGTCCACATGGTTCACACAGCTGAGAAACCTGCACTCTGAGGGCTGTGTGGTGATAAATGCAAATGAGGATTTATCTCACACAAAGGAAGAAGAAAGAGCAAAAGAAAGAAAATATAACATTGAGAGTTCTAGCCTAGTAGCTCATATAACCTGAACATTAAAATAGCAAAAGTCAATGCAGTAATCCTTTGTGATTTCAAGATATGTGTAAACACATTAAATTCTAAATTATACAATAAGGCCGACTTAGGAAATGGCAACATCTTCAACAAAGAGCACATACATGAAATATTCAAAAGGAAATGGTAATGCAATAATGTTGTAACACGTAGCCTGTGATTCTTTGTCTCTTATTATTGTTAATATTACTCCTAGTATAGCTAATATTGTACTCTCCACACAAAGACAATAGCCCATTTGAACTGCTACAGCTGAAATAACAACTTGTGTCATCACCAGTGACACAAAATAAAGAGCCATGTTTTTTTTTTCTTTTACTTTTTGTAAGTAAAAGCACTGACTAGGAAACACTTATAACTGTGCCCAACTACAATCCTTGAAAGGACCCCTGAAATGGAGTGCAGGGGAATTTAAACTTGTGAGGATGTTAAAAGTACAAAACTAAAACTTACACACAATACCAAAGAGGAGTAACACTTGGGTCCTTTATAAGGGGATCTAGTAAGCAGGTAATAAATAAAAGGGTAAAAAGAAGATAATAGATCAAATTCATAAAGCATGTATTAAAATTATATTAAAATCCTCTATATACTTTTTAAGATGGTGCCCTTTGACCTGTTTCTTCAAACACTGCAGGGCAGCAGAAAAACCAGAGGAATAAATCTGCAATAGGGACCCACCTGCTCTTCCGCTCCAGTGCTGTTCAATTCTGTGTCGAGGTCAGTCAGGAAGACTCCCTTCTTGCCCCCTAAGCCAACTGATCCTTTGAAAAGGTATATCCTAATTTTATGGTGCCAAATAATATTTTTTCATTGTAAGACAGCTTAAGTATCACATGGACCACATTTTGAAACAAGTCGTGGGAAAAGAATAACAACTTTGTTAGAAGTTAAAGGTCTGAACTATCTTCAGTCACAAATTATTCCATAATTACTATCACTCCTACACACATGTAATTTAAACAGTAGTCACTGTGTAGTGCAGCATATTGTGGGTATTAGTGCAATGCACCTGTTGGGATCTCTGTTTCATGCATGTTATACATCACATATAAAAATGTACATTTGCAGCAACAACATTGATATAATTCTGTGAAACTTGTGAGAAACTTAAGACCGTTTGCATTTAAGCATACTAGAATATTCATATCTGGAAGGCAAAAAAAAGGCACGCATTTATAGGAGCATATAGCATTTGAGTAAAAAAATAATGCAGGAGCTTTTACTTGAGGGGTTCAGTGGGAAAAACAGATATTCCGGTTACTTTCTATGAATAACAGGTCAAAAGAAGGTGCTCAAATTCTGCCACCCTAAGCACGAGGATGACCATTTTATGCTCCGGCTGCGGCCGATAAGCCTGAAGTTATGGTAAAGTGCCGCTTCTGAGCCCTCGGCAGGATTTGTGACAGAGAAATCACATCAGCCTATGCTGATTAACAATTCCATTCCACCCAGAGATTTATATAAAAAACTATCTTACATTTCGCTTTTTAATAGGAATGATCGCTATCTCAAATTGAGTCCCTGCAAACTTTAATAAAGGCCCAAGGTTGAGTGGCATTTTGCATGCTGATTTAGCCCCGATTGCCTGCTTTTGATGAGTGCGAAGCTGGTATGTAAAGCTGCGCTCCTAGCAGTTTAGAGACTGGCAGTTAAAATGCGGATAAGAATAAAAAAACTTCCATCTGGAATCTTGGGATTTTTAATGTGATTGACTGCTGAATAAATAAATGGAATACAATCAAAACCACAGACTTTCTCTGGAGGTGAAAAATCATAAACCAGACTCTTTTTATGCTCTTTTCATGACATTTCTAAAATAGTATTAGTGTACAGTATTCATCTTACACACAAGGACCATGGGCAGAAAAAAAGTGGTTTATCAAAAAGCAAATGCAATGAAATACATTTAAATTGTTAGAAACATTTTTTAAAGAAATCTATATTGGCATTACACAAGTATTTTTAGAACTGTTACACTTAATGGGATAAGCAGCTTTAGTTGGAACAGAATTGGCTAATCACAAGTAGTTTAAAATACAGATTTCAAAGGGCAATTTTTCATTGTATAGAAAACAAAAATATTTAAAATATATGATATATTTGTATATAATAAAAAGGAGTATTAAAATGACTACATTTCAACATAGTAACAAGAAATCTAAATCACTATCAACACACTTTCAAAAAGATGTCTTTATTTTTTTTGGTATCACATTGTATAATAAAGTGATACATCTTGAAATTATGCGTATCGTTTAATGCTCTTACAGGTAAATGTTGTTTGATTTCCAATATTTCCCAGACGTATTCAAGATCACTAAGGGTTGTTGTTCTTTCACGTTAGCAATCGGGGTTTTTTATTCTTGATTGATTGAACTTGAGTCTTTTTGTGTAAATGAAATCCTCCCTGTAAATATGTGGTGTGTTACACAGTTCTTAGAGGGTAAATCCAAGCCTCAAGCAAGCGTGCCATATGTTTACCCTCATCCTTAAACAGCCCATTTTATCAATAGGCAGGGTAGGACTGTGATCTAAAGCATCACCCATGGCTCTTGAGAGATGCATTCCAGGCCAGCAGCTTCTTTATGGAAGTAAATGGTGGTCATATCTCACGCCTCATGTGGAATGTGGCTTGCATGATGAAACAGCTTCACAATTCAGCCTAGTAGGATACTGGAATTAATTATCTCACAAAACAGCTGAGGACGGGCTTCTGAATCACACAGTTAAGGCATGCTGCCAAACCTAATGTTGGGTAACCAAACACTGCCTTCTGTTCTGTTGTACCTGGACGATGGATAAATAGCGGATAGTGTTCTCTTCCATCAGTCCACACTGTAAACTATAAAAAACATCTGTTTAAAAAACTCTCTGGATATTGCTGGAGGCATAATTACCACTTCAAAGAGAAGAAATCTCACATTAAGCATTTCTACTGTACATTGTTCGGATGTCTTAATTTAGTTGCCAAGTGTTATAGTTAGTAATTCTAATGCATTCATTATGCTTTCTTACTATAACAAAAATGTGATGTTTTTCACTTGGTGGCATTTTTGTTATTACATTATACTGTAGCTTTCAGAGTCAAGACTTACTTTGACTCTTATTTAAACCCCTGAAAAGAAATTAAGTATAGATAAAATGATAAAATGACAGAAACCTCCCAATGTTTCAAAGCGTAACTATTTCTGTTATATCTGACATTCAAGTTGAAATTCCACCTCCTTTCTTTAATGGTGCAAACACATTTATAAAAATCCTTAGTATTAATATCATTTTCAGTAGCAGAATTAAAGAAGTGAAAGTATTTGTAGTTAAGGAAATTCACATAAATTAACCAAAATACATTTACATTTTTATACCAATAAACGTTCAAGGTTCCAAGTTTAATTTGGAAGATAGAAAGTTTTCTCTAGATGCAGTAGGTATTATGGTTGTTGTATAAATTTCCTGTATCCAGCTATCCAGTTATGAAAGGACTACTTGTCATACTCATGTACATGAGCACTAAGGTCTTTAGGCAAAAGCAAAAGCGTGGGATAAATGCCTTTTGAAGCCTCACTGTTAAAACTTGCAAATATGCTCAAAGGGATGTTTTTTTTCTAGATGCCATTCTCTGCACGTCGCACACAGAGTTCTGCAAAGCCTGAGAATAGCCAGGAGTAGCTCTGGGACATTCAGAGTGCAATAGCTAACATAACTTCCTTAAGTGGCGAGTGGAGTCAGGCCTATTTTCTTTCGCTGAACCCTAGAGTCTGTGTGAAAGAAAGTCTATCTTGCATAAAAATAATGCTAGAGAAAGTCTGTGAGTGAGACCACTCTGTATTAACAAAGAAATATGCACTGAGCAAATATAAACTGACGCCTCTGACACCCCAGTATCATTTGTCAAAGTAAATGGCACATTGTACAGAGTACATTTTCCCTGAGTAGACTGGACTCCTGAATGTTCCTTGACAACACTCCTATAGGCCTTGATAAGATGCTATCAGCAGGCCCTCTAAGCACTTGAGAGCCACTTTAGGAGATCACTAGGGCAATTACCATGAAAAGTAAAAGATACTGCCTATATTGATGGGAGATTAATACTGACCACAATGCAATTGATTTTTTCCTGCAATCTTATTTTCTGATCGTAACAGTGTTTTGTGGCCTGTTTGTGAACATTCACTTTTCTCAATAAAATGAGCCTGGAGTTGCTATCTAACATTTCAGAAGAGGATCCTTAAATGAGACCAAGCCCTCTTTTATCAGTAGATGTTATTTAATTATTACAGGACATCTTAGCCATTAGTTGGATGTTTTAAATAAAGCAGTTGGTTTAAAGGACCCTCTTATCTGTAACATTATTAGTATAGAAGGATAATAAAACTGAACAGATGGTAACAGATACAGCGCTATGTTTCTGAAAAACTCTAATGACCCCTGGTTTTATTAAAAAACAAGAAACATTGCATGCTGCATACAGTAAGCTGAATCAATAAGTACTGAGACTCACAGAAAACTACAATTGATGGTTCCTGTGATGCACAAATTAAACTTCAAGACTTGTTTAAATATACAGATATTAAATATAGTAGCTGACTAAAAATAAACAGACAATTAGGTTCTTGATAGTCCTTCTTATCGGTGAAAGTAATACAGCATACTGTACATCTGATATTTCAAGGTTTAATCAATATTTTCTGGCTTCAGATACCCTTCATAAAACTAGTTTAACCTGATTATTACAACACCATCTTTATACAGTTGTCATTGGAACAGTTTTTTTAATTAAACTTAAAATGTATTTTTTTTTTAGTTTTATTTAATTTTTTAAAAGAATAACAAAGAGGGCATCTCAATAATGATGAACTATGAGGCATATTGAATAATCTGTTCACTTTCTACTCTGATATGGAAAATAATATATAATTATGTGCAATGAATAAATGTATGTGTAGCTAATATGGTGCATAATTATATAAATAGTGAATACATTGGCTTAAGGAGATGTACCTCAAGAATCTGTATTAGGAGTACTACTCTACTAAACAGTTATACAGTTATATAGTTATACATTAAGTTATACAGTAAGAATACTATATATCCTGTTGTAGTTATCAAAATAATCAATAATTATTATAAACAATCCAAAATGGAGGATTTCCAATCCCAGTGGAAGCCGCAAAAGATGCACCTGACAGATGATGTTTAGTGTAGACAACTTCAGGGTGCTGCTGGTAGAAAAACATAAACAAAATATATATACATAAACTCTAGTATATAATATGGAAATCACTTAGCCTGAAGAAGCTTATGAAAATACATTTTCATCTTCTAGACAATGTGGGAAATTAATAGAAAAGCAAACAGAATATGAGACTATATACAGCAGTAAACTGAAAGGCAAAAATATTTAAATCTTTTTAATCCTGAAAATAAAAGACTAACTACTATATTTCAGTACAGTATTAACAAACTTCAAAGCTACCAGAAAATTCAGCCCAATGGACTTCACCAGAATCAGCAGTGGAACATAAGCATGGCACTATTAGAAAAAGCACTAGAAAAGAAACTAGGTATTTTTTGCAGAAATGATTGTAAGAATATTGGAATGGACTGTTAAGACACATTATTTAAGATGATACCTTAGCTTCTTTCAAGAAATGTCTGAATGAGATCCTTTTATCAAACAACTTTAATAACCAAAGGAACCATATGGTTAAAATGTTCCCCTCTTATTTGTAAACATTGTTACAAAGGTATATATCTCTGTATAACAAAATACCCTGTTCAATTGATGTGATTTCATTAAAATAAAAATGCCCAGTGCTCAGTATTTGATATTTGAGTAAACATTTCCCAAATTAGTTGATTAAGAATCTACATATGTCTATGTTTGAGCAATGCAGATCTTATTTGTTTTCTGGCATAATAGATGTCTGGAGAATGAGGTATCCTTCCTTAGACATCAATAGACTAGTCCAGAAAAAATAGCAAACTGACTTTGTGAGGGACAGGCCACATCCAGAGAGGCATAAGTTCATCGCACAGCCCATAACCAGTCTCACATCCATCTTAACCATTGGTGTAATTGTTTTCAGACTGCAGTGCCTACAGCGCAAGAAATTCCAGGAAGAAATAGCTTGTACTTCCGCAAAATGACAGCTGCTTGCTGTCGGCATGAAAATGATCTCCATCCTTGAAGTCCATTCAGTAGAAATATACTGATGGCTGAGACAAAATCACCTTTTCCTGTGGTCCAGAGCACATACAGTACAAGGTATTTACAGAATAATCGGTGGAGTGTTTTATCCATGAATTAATATGTATTTTAACCTTGATAGACTGACATAAGACTTCATTGATGGAGACCTTATACTGAGTGTTATACTGTTCATTGCGTTGCTCAAGCCAGCTGGTGAGGCAGTGGAAGTATGATGATGCGTGGAGGAATCTCTTTTAACTCAAAAATATCAATCTCCCATTCCTGCTTCATTTATTATCTATGCTAACAGCTATCTTGGATAAAATAGATAATAGTTTAATACAATTGTTACGTCCCAGTGAGTGGTCTGTGTGTGGTTTTTTTATGTTCCACACTGCTGACCCTTGATTGTTCTCCCTCCCCCATTGGCCCACCATCACACCACTGTTTCGGTATGATGTCATCATCAATCAGCCTCTCAGCCAATCAGACTACATTTTATTCAGTATATAACATGGAGGTTTTTGGGAAGGAGAGGCCTTTTGTTTGACTTCGGTCCTACTCGGTTTTGGTTATCACTTTGCTTCTGGTTATTAATTTGGCTTTGTTGGTTTGTTTTGCTTTGTGTGTGTGTATTTTTGTATAGCTTCGGCTTTGTTGTTTTGTTGGTTTTCGGGTTTTCTTTTGTAGTCAGGTTAGCTTTCCCTTACCTTCCTAGCCAGCTCCATTTTGTTTGTTATTTTCTTTTCTTTGGCACCACTCTAGTTCCTTACCCTTGTTATCAAGCTTCCTAGTCCCTCACCAGAACCCACCTGTTTCCTAAAGAATTATACTAAATGTTACACCCCTTAACCCCTAGACACTTAGGGTTGTAACAATAATAATAACAACAATAAATAATGTCTCTAAATTTTGCAAAAGAGAAAAACTCCAGTTGTGCTACTAGTCAAACAGTTTAGGTATCTTGATTTTGAGGGTTGTTGCTGATTGCCCACTACCAGACAGACCTGAACATTTGGACACATTTTCTTGTCTTTTTGGTTGAACTCCTATATATTAGTTTATAATTTTTCACAGCAGAAAGGCTGTCTCTTCCTATAGACTTCAAGGTTTAAATTATGCTTGTGCTATACTTAGACATTGTCATTTGCATTTTGTCCTCATAATGACCCAGTTAATTAATACAAGGCAATTGATGGAAATGTCCTGGAAACCATAGTATTATCACTTTCATATTTTTCAAAATCTTGAATCATGGGTCTTTATAAATATTTTCTTTTGTCAGCTTCACTTAGGACAGATTAAGTTCTACACATATAACAGATAAGAGAAAGCCTTGTTACTTTAACATTAACCTGATCTCAACAGTTCCCAGAATCTAAGAATAACTGGACCTGTTCACTCAGGACAGGGAGGCCTTAAAGGAAAAATGAGATTGTTGATGCAAGTGGTGTTGGTGGACTATCAAATTCATTGACTTCCAAAGTCAATGCCCCATTAAGGTGATCAGGAACACTGTCCTGTAAGAGGTGCTACCCTTCTCATGAGATGTTCATCTTGGAGGAGAATTGTTAAACCCAGTGTCCTGGTTAAGTTCCACTTTGGGTAAGTACAGACACTCCTTTATTTCCATTGTTGGAGCAATTGCTTCTTATCTAACTGAATTGCTGCATAGTGCGACTGTTGGTGCATAATTGTTGCCAACCATTACCAAGGTAAGTGCTACACTTTAGTAGTTGGTGTAGTAGGTCCCTTCCTATATATAAATGACATTAATAAAAAGCACTATAAATTGAAAGAATAATTTTACCAAATAAAAACTTGGATCTCGGCCTCTTGTAGTAGCAGGAATACATTCGGTTGGCTGGTTTCACTGCAGCTGAAAAAAAAACAAACATTAGTACTGTTTTGAAGGCCTGTACATTTTTGGACTTAATGTAATGTCATTTACAGTAAATGGATCTTTCTACCATTTGGATCCACAATGCTGAGGTGGTCAAACGATTGTAGTACAGCAATCAACACTGTAAAATCCTCTATTATAGTCTAGGTTGAATACAAAGGTGTCGTTTGGTTAGATTATTTTCTTCTAATTTTTTATGAAGTAAAGTAATAAAACCCATTCACAAAAAACAAGCAAAACCATTGTTTTCATTTTGATAATGTCATGTTTAAAACTTTCACAAATTTCTTTTGATATTTTGTTTGATATCTATGTTTAACATATTTGATTAAATTCATTGGAGATGTTCAATTTGTTTTTTGCATCTTTATATACACTATATATAAAAGGATTCTAGTAAATTAAACAAGCAGTGATTGCTTTTAGAATCTGTGCTGACTTGCGCCATTGTTTTGTCTTTATTCTTTGTTTAATTCTCACTATCACATCCTTAACTTTACTATTTTCAGAAGTAAAACTAATTGAAATATAGAATCCCGGTTAGGGTTTTTTACCCTTTAAATGACCAGGTCATTGCATTTTTACAGTGTGTAGTTCCACTCCCTGATAGTTCCACTATCCTGGTATAGGATACCATCTATTGAGAGTTGAAATATCCCAGCCATGTATAACATTTCTCCTTCCCTTAGGTATGACTGGGAAAGTATAATCAGGCTCCAGCGATTAATTAGTTTTAAGCCACACTTAGCCCCTTCAGAACATCAGTGTCAGGTATACTAAAATGACCCAATACTGATGAGGAAACCCTTTGCCCTACTAAGACATTACTCTGAAAGAGAGATTTGTATAGCAACTGTTATGGAATGGTGTTTTAGACACGTTAAAACAGGATAAGCCACTATTGAATTAAAGAAGTTCCTTTGCTTCTTTATCAACAGAATGCTTTAATTACTTTTTTTTCCTCAATGATCATTTGATTTACTCAAGGATACCATCTACTACTAAATAGAGAAAGCATCAAAGAGCTTACATTCTGCTTCCTCTTGAACTCTAAAGCAGACCTAACTAAAACAGTATCCTATACTCTTTTCTTATAATGTGTGCATCACATAAGGACAGTTGACACTTGGCTGAATAGCCTGTGAGACAATGGGATTTTTCACATATTCATATTGTTGAATTTGCTCATTAACCCAACCCAGACAGAAACCACATGTCGACTATTAGTCTAAATGTGTCCTGCATTAACAGGGAAGCATAAAATTGTACAATGTGCTACTAAGATATTATTTAGACTTTGTGTCTCCATTTTGGTCTCCACATTACAAAAACTGCATTGTTACTCTGACAAAGACCCAAAATAAAGACCAACCATTCGGGAACCTCATTCAAGTATTCAAAATCAAAAGCATTGACAAAGTTAACCCTATGGCTTTTTCTCAAAATGAGCAGCAAAACTGGATGCAAGTTAAAACTGAGAACAGAAGACACTTCTTTACACAGACAAACGTATTAATAGTTTTAATACCCTGCCTTCTTTCAAGGCACGCCTAGATGAGATGAGATACATCAATTCACATCAATGAGTAATCCACATCAATGTGAATAACACAACCAAATGAGCTGGTTGATACTGTATGTATGGCTTTCCCTCCACTCAAACACCTAAGCTTTTCTCATAAGTAGCTTTTCCAAGTTCAATGTTTTCCATTTTGTATCTAAAGACAGGGTACCATTCCATACACTCTGCATCAGTCCATACGTGTTGGTGATCGTTCAAAGAACTTGGACAAAATAGTTAACTGAGATCTATTATTTCTAAAACCTCGTTGACTCTTCTGTAGGGTCTTATTTCCAAATAGGGGTAGTACCCCTGTTTTGAATGATTGTTGGAATAATTTTGTATTCATTTATTTTATTGGTCTTTTGTCTCCTTAAGTGCAATTGGTAGAAAGACATCAAGCCCTAGGGATTTTTTAATCTGGTTAGAATCTGGAACACTTATTCTTCTACTATGTAAAAGCTATTAAATAAATAACCTTGTCCTTCCTCAGCCAGAGCTTGCTGTTGATATCTTCCTTT